TCAGTGTTGCCCGACTGCGCTGAGCTGTGGGTTTTCTCGTCAGTAGGCTGTGGCAGCCTGCGTAGGAGCAATTTTGAATGCTGGTGGCGGCAAAATCGCCTAACTTTATTTTTTCTTTTGTGTTCTGTGGCGATTATAACGGCACTATACACTCAGCCGTGTCAACCTTAACTGCCTAATATATTTGACCACACCAGAGGATAGCCGAACTGCATGGGTATTGCCCCCTCACTATATGAAATTCAACGAGTCTCATAAATCGAACAACATATATTGTACGCGTACCCCACGGTGCCGCGTTATCCGGACATGATTTGAGAAAGGTCTCAAATAACACAGCATATCCAAAATACAGTGTCGACGACAGTCACTTCACGACGATCGCACGGAATCCGGCTTGTCTTGGGGTACGTTTTGAAGAGTGATGTTTTTTATACACAGCACTAGAGCGAATGAACGAACGTGTCTATTTAGTTCCCATACCCCGGACCCTATCAGCTACTTCTCGCCAAGACCGGGAACATATCCGGGAAGGCTTTTCGGAGATTATCTCAACGGAAATAATCCTCGAAGAACGTCGAACGGCCTGCGTCGCGGGCTGCTTGACGTTCGCTTTCTTCGCTCGTTTCCTGCGAAGGTACAGAAGGCTATAGGTCCTGGTATTCCCAGGTTCTCACAGTGGAAGATTACAAAAACACGCAAGCATCCTGAACAGGCAAATAGAGTAAACACTTACAAGGAAAGCCGGCGAACTCCGAACACACGATGCAGGTGGGGAGTCGCGCTGATCGGGTTTCCCCAGCTCAGGCGGGTGGCAGAAATTTTTGGCTAATAGGGGTCACTCGAGTCGCAAAATGGCGGCGGCCAGCGAGCTGTTTCTGCAAAGGTCTATACTGTCTCCGTGATAAAAGATAAGAGGAAAACCATATAATAACTTTAAAAAAGAAAGATATGTACTTGTCTGTGTTTCTGACCTCTTTGGGTTTATTCTTTCTGTGTTTGTAAGTCTCTATAAACAAGCTCCCTAAATTTTAATTCAAGTTGTGTGAGCTTCATGTCCTGACTCAGTACGTCCGCCCGTCACCCTGTGTTCAATCCCCGCAACTTCTTTCAAGCCGTCAGCTACATCTCAATAATTAACTTTCTGCGGCTCCGTCTACGCTCCCTGGGGCTTTGCTTGCGAAAAAACGTGGCCCACGCCTCCGTGGACTTTGTGCTGGGATTCCACTCCCATACTTGGTTGTCAAGCTACAGGATCATGCAGATTTCAAGAATAGAGATATCCCAGGAACTTCGACTCATGAGAATGACTCTCCCCGGCCACGACAGCACTCCTCGATACGTTTTACGCCACAGACCCTCGTTCCTCTTCCTCAGGAGTTCTGCAGTCGGGCTCTTGGAGGCCGCAGGGGTAAAAATCCTGGGGAGGTACGCAAGTCTTGCCAGAAGGCTTCGGACTTCAACTGAAACCCCCTGTTGTACTTTTGGACAAACAGCTTTCCCCGGAGGGACTTCTGTCTCACGGGCCCAAGTTCGCCCTAGACCTTCCAGCATCGAGGGTAGACCAACTGACATCCGTTTACAAGGTAGCAGCAAGTAACCCTGAAAAGGATCGTCAGAACTTCGTAGGGACAGCTGTGCATTCCGTTTGTGCCCACCTCCAGGCAAGTCATATGTATACTCAACAGTAGAGGAGCTCCGCAACGCCCAGCTAAAGCTGCTAGAGTAAGAAAAGATGGTAGTTTTCGTTGTTATGAATGAGGACATCTAAGAGGAAAAGGTGGAAGCTGCACTCGGAAAAAGAACTGCTTTACTCAAGGAAAGACCTTCAGGGTCTTTAAGGTCTGAGGCTAGGGAGATATGCTCTCAACTGAACCTCCCCGCTCTGAGAAAGAAATGCGTTAGTTTTGCCCGCACATCAGTTCATAAGAGTGCCCTTTTTTTCTGCAAAGACCCGTGCAGAAAACGCCCCGCTCCGCGGCATTGTTTCGGAGAACGGGTGCTGGCAGAAGAATGGTCTCCAACGGCCAACTCTGCCAGCAACACCAGCGGTCGAACCAACGAGAGCCCCTCGGAGACAGACGGTCTCCAACACAACCATGGCAAATCGTCACCAATGACTTCTTCCATCTCCACAGTGTCACCTACCTACTTGTAGTGGACTACTTTAGCAAGTACATTGTGATAGAGCAAAAGGGGGACACCTCTGCTATCAAAGGATCGCAACCCTAAAAAAGGAGTTTGCTTGATTCGGCATTCTAGAAGGGGTCTTTGACAACGGCCTGCCATTCAACTCTGAAGCATTCAAAGGGTATCTCAAGTGCTTGGACATGACAAATAATCCAAGTTCTCCTGATTACCCACAGTCGAATGAACTTGCAGAGAGGTCAGTTCAAAGAATGAAAACAGCTTGACCAAGGCACCGAAGGAAGGCAACGACCTGTCTCTTGTTCTTATGGAGCTTAGGGACACACCGATGGATCAGCTCCTGTCCCCATTGGAACTGCTAATGGGCCGCAGGATCACAACCCTCAAGCCAGCTGCTCCGCGTTAACTTGAGCAGCACTACAACATCAGGGAGGTTCAAGCACGCCTTCAGTTCCATCAAAAGTGTCAACACCGACATGGTGACGCACACAGCAAACCACTACGTCCTCTGAGTCAAGGCGAGAGAGTCTATTTCCGTCGAAACCACAAATGGGAACCCGGAATTGTGGTCCAAGTCGGACAACAGCCACGATCATACCTAATCAGAGCGGAAGACGGGGGAGGGGAGGGGGAGGGGGGCATTACAGAAGAAATCGATTCCACATCTGACCATTCGCTTGAAACAACAACGCGATCCCTGAGGACTACTACCAACTCACGTTCAACGACCAACCTCACCAATGTCCTGCCCAGTAGTCCCGCATACCCGAAACCACTCGATCAAGCCATCAAGTTGTTCAGCCAGCAAGGTATCGCCGAGTCTGTGGACTCTGAACTCTTAAAATTCGCATAAACTTTCTTTTTGCAAAATAAAAGGGAAAAAAGGATCTGTTATGTATTTAGAAAAGTATGGTTGGTGGTGCCCACTTCGCAGTTTCTCACAAATCGGCGTTGATACCCACACGTGCGACTCAGCTAGCCTTACACCACAAAACAGCTATGTGCCTGGCGTCGTTCCCGTTCTCGTAATAAAGTTTGTCAACCAAAAACATTTCAGTATGAACAACGTTATCCACAAACACGGCACGTGTCAGTTCCTGGATCTCCTGGATGTTTACCTCCACTCAACCTCAGTGGAGTACGAGGGCAATGTTTATATAAAGAGAGCGGAGGTGTGCATCGGGTCATGCTTTGCAACAGTTCTGAGTAAGGTATGTATTTACTCGCACAATGAACGCACTCGCGTAATGAACGCACCCCCCAAGTCGGCTTCCAAAATTTCGACTTTTTTTTTTCACTTGCATATTAAACCCACCCTCAACTGGGAAGTCAAAACTTTGACCCCCTCCCCTTTCCCCACACGCGTGAAATGAACGCACTTTTCTATCCTGGTGCAGCGAGGTCGCAAATGCATGGGTAGCGTGGCCGAACAAAACGCCTTGCAAAAGGCCTTAAAAATAAAAAAGACCCATTGGAATCATTTATCGAAACTACAGTACGAAAACCAGTGTCTCCCACTTAGACTTGGTTCTTTCTAATTTAACGTCTCTTGAATCACGTCGGACAGTCGCTCGCCTTACTCTTTTTCATAACTTTTATTACAACATGCAATCATTTATGCTCACTCACTGTAAGTCTGTCTCATACATTTCTTTGCGTCATGATCATTCCTTGAAAATTGCACCTATATTTGGTCGCACTAATAGATACAAATACTCTCCTCTTGCTCTGTCCATTAAAAATGGGAATTCTCTCCCAAACGACATAGTCACTGAATAGAATGATAAAAAATATTCCGCAAAAAATTTTTGGCTTTGGTACTATGTTTTCAGCGCCATGTCTGCTTGTGTTTCCTATAAATTGTGCACTGAGTCCCCAGTTCTGTTGTGCCCGGTTTCTGTAAACTTTGTTCTGAATTCTGTATAGTTTGTTTTTAGTTTTTGTTTGTTGTTAATTTTTAACCTTAGTTAGTTCTTTTATTTCCATTATATCATTGCATTTGTTTGTATTTTTCTACCCCCCCTCATGTAATACGTTTGAACGAACGTATTTGAGGCGAATAAAACTTGAAATTGAACTTGATTCGAGTCCATTGAGCTGCGAAGGCGAATACATCGGCCATCGGAAGATGCCTAAATGCTCGCTTTAGGGAACACCATTTAGATGTTACCAAGGCATCATCGGACTCGTTCCACCCAATAGTTCTGCATGCCCGTACCTGCCACGATTGCACCCCAAACTTTGAAAACACCACTTAGCTAAGTTCACACATAGATAAATGTGGGCCCGAAACAATAGAAGCGTTTAAGGTCAGATATGCTGTGAGCAATGTCTCTGGGACATCTTTGGCTTTGTCGTCAAAAAAGCTGGAATTTCTAGCGTAAAAATTATCGTAAAAAGCTTGTTGTGATCAATTAATTTTGTCTTTTCCTTTCTTTTCCCCCCTTTTCAGGGGTTAATTTCCTGATTATAATGCAGTTAATGTAAAGGTACAAGCGAGCTGGACAAGAACCTAGCTGTGTTGGGAGATTTGTGTTTGTCCTTTGTCCCTCTTGTTCCCATTTTCCAGGATTATTTTCGTCATTAATTTCCTTTCTTTTTTTTTCTTCCTTTCCCCCTTTTTCACGAAATTTCCTTAAGTTTTTCCCTATAATTTTTTTGCTATCATTTTAATTTGGTATTTTTAAAGTTTGTGAGTAAATTGGTTTTATATTAAATTTTGAATATTTTCGTTTTCTTTCAATTCTTTGTCGTTCAAGGTCGTAGCGTAATGGGCATCTCATAAATGTTCGCTGCTCATTGAAAGAACTGTGTGTGTCTGTGTTTGTCCTTTACGTGTTTTATTCTTTCAGTGCATTCTGTCAGTTCCTCAAGGCTCTTCTCACATCATGTGGTGACATTTGCGTCCAGTGTTATATAGCCCTGTCACATGGAAGAGGTGGAGGAGACCAGCTTACTAAAGAGTATATCAGCATCACTGGTATTTCCTTTCTCGTTGGAAATGACTTCTGCCCCTTTTGTTTAATGGGAGTCCTTTGCATGTTCTTTGCTTACTTTTCAAACGGTTCAAAAGTGTGATATGGGGTAGGCAGTTATGCGACAATGGTGCATGCCCAGTATATCACGGTAGCTTAAACAAGAGACTTTGGAAGTGAACATCAGGAGAATCTCCTGTTTCATTCTTTCTAATCCAGGGTGCCAATTTCGAAACATGTTGTACAATCTTTAAATAACTTTTAGCACAAGGAAGGAAAAAGGAGAGGAGGCATTATGTCAGTTCGCTATGCAATTCTAGAGATTTTACAACAGTACAGTACAGGACACCAAGCCGGTTGGAACCAGATCATTACATCTGTCAGTGTGGCTTCTAGGTACTTTAACTAGCTTATTAGTTCGCAAAAGAGCTCAATGAATTGTGGAGGCTAAGCCTCGTAAGACTTCTGCAGACTGACTGCACTGAGCAATAAAACGAAGAATTCAGCTGGATTGTGTAACGTAGAAAGATAAACCGGGAAAAGAGCATGGGCAAAACTGGGGAGCTAAACCACGCAAGGCATTTCGTGCTATGTCTCGTCTAAACTATTTTCTTTGTTGCTGCACTTTCTGTCATCTTTAGCAGGCAGTATGCACTGATTTCACTTACATATTGGGTGGATTCGACCATAAAGCTAGACGTTTGTATTAGTAAACCAAGCGTATGTTTTATCGGAGTAATGGCACATAGAATTTGCACTCTTTTTAAGAGGGATAATTTATCTAAGCCAATTGTTTCATACTAAATTGCCAAAGATTCTGCCCCAGTTTTCAAAAACAGACTGGCAAATGCTTTCATTTATTTAGTAAATTTGATCTGTTTATTTACAGGAAACACTGCCTCTATTGCTGTCATCAACAGCCAGCTGGCTAAAATCAAGCCACCACACAGCTCCACGAGACTCCCAAGGGCACTGAGCACACGCCTATTCTGGAAGGCTTCCGAATGGCGCCACTGGCTGCTCTACCACTCGCTTCCCTGCATGCACAGGGTCCTTCTGGACCAATACTGGCCGTACATAAAGAAGCTGGTGGAGGCCGTCCATGCACTTTTGAGGGACACCGTAACTCCAGCATCCATTGATGTTGCACGCGAGTTCTCCCCCTTCGGTTTCTTTGTGTCCTGCTTCGGGCCAGCTTTAATAATGTCATATTGTGCTTTCAGAGAAACTCCTCTGGACCTTTGTGGGCATGACAGGGAGGCTGTATGGAGCTCCAGCAATGACGTTCAGCCTGCACCAGTTACTCCACCTAGCGGAAGCAGTGCAGCAATTGGGGCCATTGTGGGGCCATTCTGCTTTTGAATTTGAAAGCGGTAACGGGCAGCTTGTGAAGCTGGTGAAAGGATCAAATGCTCTTCCGGAAAGGGTAGTGAAGTATCAGCAGTTGGGATCAAACTTTGGTGTCCTCGCTTCTAAGTGACAGCGTCAAAGTGATGTGCTGTGATATTCTGGGATACACTAAACACCAAAACTTCAAGTATGCAAACGAAGTGTGCCTGCTCGGTTCCTCTTCGAAGGCATCCTTGAGCAAAGAGGAACAGAGTTGTCTTTCCGCTGGATTTGGGGCCGCCTTTGATCAGGCTACAGAGTACAAGCACTTCGCATGGAAAGGGCAGATTTGTCACAGCCGAAACTATGCCAGGAGTAAAAAGACAGACTCCTAGGTCATTCAAATAAAGGATATGTGCGATTTCACCATTTTGAGAGTGTTGCCTTTGAAAGGTGAGGTAACACTTCTGTGCAGGGAAGTTGTCATCACTTGTGCAGGTGCTTTCCCGCAGCACATCAGGCTTTGTTTTCTTTCTCACGTGAACTTGCAGGCTGTTAAACCACAGCAGCTGAAGGCACCATGCCTTTTTCTCACTTTCAGGAAGCCCTCAGCATGCTATGTCTGTGATCTGTCAAACCTTCTTGAGCGCGATTGATGTAATGTAACCAGGTGTGCCGAAGTAAAGTGACTGTTCCCTAGGAGTTGAAATATCCAAAACTACATCCTGTGATAATTTGTCCCTGTTTTGCCTTTGTGTCAACAAGGGAAATCTATCGAGATTGTGCCTTTCACATCTTCAGACTTCTTGTTTTGCTCCTAAGGTGTTCCTTCAGGTAACTCTACATTCATAAGTGATTTTCTTTGTTTACAATTTGTTATACTTCGTGTGCTTGATTTGCTCTTCTGAGACTAGTCGGGCTAATTTGATTATCGACCTGTGGAAGATGGCTATTGTTTGAGTAAATCAATTCCATGTCTCAGCCTCCTATTGTGTCTTTCCCTAACCTTTCTGACAAAAATGTGTGAAGCTTCTAGGGGTAGCAGTAGGGTAGGCTTGTTTTTAACTGCAAGCAGGCAAATGAGAAAATCACTCTTTTGTTATTATAATGCAAGTTGAAAAGACTTAAATAGACTTAGACCTTTCGTTATTCTGTCTACATTGCATCATAATTGAATAGCTTCAAAAACCTTCTGTATTCGTGGACCACAAAATAGGCATTTGTTAATAGCATTTCACATATGATTTGATTGATTTTGTTTTCATACTTCTGTGTTAATTTTGACTAGTTAATTGTTTTAGTAACTATAGGTTATGTATGAGGGTTATAAGTTCTTGGCTCTCTTAATTACTGTACTGTCATTCGATGATTTGTCTCTTAACACCTACAAGTACTTGTGAAAATCTTAAACTGGCACACGTAAAACTGAACAGCAAGATAGTTACTGATGCTTGTCTAGTGAGCTTTCAAACACAAATATTAAATAGAGCGTGCACATTAGAATGTATAGCAATGTATTTCTGGGGTGGAGTTGCCCTTTGAGGTTATTACTTGAAGTAAGCATTTGTGCAAGTTGGTTTAAATTTATGTAGTGTCTAATGGCCTTTCGGTGTCTTGGGGGTTCTAGTAATATTTTTTTTCTGAGATCAATCATAGTATAGAAATAAATGTAGAGCGGATGCAGAGGATGCTAACTGCTGTTAACGAATTCCAATAAGGTAGAAATGTTTGGCGACTTCATTATAAAAAACAATTACTTTTTTTTCATTTCAATGCTTCTAAAAATGCCTTTTGCACTTGATGGGCCAGCTGCATTCTTCAAGTTGGCATGAATCTGCCTAGAACGTGCCTTTTTTAGCTCGTCTTAGCAAGACATAATAGCAGTAGGTGATGCCACTAAAAAACCTGTGTCGACATTTAGCTAAGACAGCTCTATATCAATTTCACTATCCACTAGCTGGGCTGAGCATTTTCAATTCTAGGCATACTGTAAGTTTTGGTTGGCAGGAATTCCATTTGTTCTATATTATTTCCAGTTTCCACAAACTGGTATATATGCTTTACAGAATAGGCAACTCTGCCACCAAATGTAATACCTATAACTTAAATTTCCATAGCTGTTTGCACTTTGTTGGGCCAGCCTAACAACTAAAAAAATATAAACGACATACATATCCGAGATTTTTTGTTTCGCGAAATGTTTTACCTGGATGCCTGAGGGTTTTTCAGCGAATTTCTGCTAAGTGGGTCTTTTACAATACATTCAGGTTTCTAGGAACCACATTTTGTTTTCAATATTCATTTCAGTTTGCACAAACTGGCTTTGGGGATAAGTTAACAGAACAGCTCCCTGAATGGAGGTTCCAAGTATAGAGCCAGATACCTAGGTGGTTTTAAAAAAACCCAGTATGTGACCACTATAGTTTCTCCTCCTGGATTTGTTTTCCCACAATATGTATCACATGGCGTAACTGGATATCAATTTTCAGGTGATGGTTCCACTAACTTCATTCTGGAACTGAAAACTTCCAGAGCAGAATTCAGATTCTTCATTCTGGAACTGACTTTTCCAGAACCAAATCCAAATTCTCCAATTAGGAACTGACGTTTCCAGAACCGAATCCAGATTCTCCAATCTGGAACCGACATTTCCAGAATTGAATCAAGATTCTCCATTCTGGATTTCGGCTTTCCAATTAGCTTCCAGAAAAAAATCAAACTGGGTTCTCAGGTAGGGAAGTATTGTTACGTGTACACTCCAGTATGTGCCTGCGAAACTTTGTAACATATATTTATATTTCAGCTTGCTTTTGAAAGGGAACTTAGGTTTGAAACCGACATTGAAGAAGACGAAAGATGCCTCAAGAAGGTTCTCCTAGAAACAGCAGAGTTGGCCACCTTCCTTTGCTGTCCCCCAGCCCTTAACACTGTCTGCAACACCAACGAACCATGGAGTCGTCACAATCTTCTGCTTTCGCACCCACACCATCTGACAATGATGCACCATGCGTGAAGGGGATCATTTTTTCAAAGGAAGAACTGTGAACAGCCGTGTCTAAGATCAAGCCATCACAATGCCCTTGTCCAGATGGTGTGGCACCTGCCTTTTATAGGATGATAACGCAGTACAGTTTGATCCCTCCCTCAGCTGTCTACTTCAAAGTATTTTCGATGAGGGAGCTGTTCCTACCACCTGGCAACACGCCTTACTCACCCCTATTCACGAAAGGAAAGAGAAGCCTACAAGTGACGTCAAGCATTAGCGTCCAACCTCAATAACATTAATCATCTACCGCACATTAGGATGCATACTGAACAGTCAGTTCCTCGATTTTTAGAGAGCACTGGATACTTATTGCAGACACAGCACAGTTTTAGGCACGCCCGCAGCTGTGGGACGGTCCTGGCGACCCCGTGTCATTTTGTAAGCAACAATCTTGGCAGTCGCAAAAAGAAAGATTTTCTACGCCTTCATCTCAGTTACGCGTTCGATGCCCTCAACATCGATCTCCTGCTACATAAAATGTCAGGCGCCAGCGTTCATGGCTTCCTTCTCAAGTGGCTGCCAAACTAACTGAAGGGAAAAATCCCACAATTTGTTTACCAAGGTGTGCACTGAGCTACGATGAACGTCCCCTCCAGTGTGCCACAGTACCGGTTTCTTGTCAATGACATGCCTCAGGATGATAGATTTTCTTTCGTTCAGTACGCAGACCACACCTCGATGCTGGCTCCACTTACTGACACCTGCCTCCTTCTCCAGGACTACATCAAAGACATAAAGTGCCGGGTGACTAACAACTGCTAGCGGCTGCACGCCACGAAAAGTGCCGTGATGCGCTTTAGCAGGCCCCACAGGGTGGGCAAATCGAGCTATCATTTGCTCAGTGAGCCCCTACCATGTATGACTCTTTGTCAAGCTTAGAAATTACATTCACACAAACATTAGATTTCACAGTGCACATAGGAAGTGTTGTACCAAAGGCTCGGCGAACCATGGGGGTTGTTTCTTGTATCTCCAGGTCATGGGGACCTTCGCCATAATCTCCGGTCATAAGGTGCATAAGACAGATTTCCAGAAAGATAAGGGAGGAGCCCCAAAAGACCAGTTCGACCACTTCGAAGTTTCCAAAACTTGCTTTTACGCAAAATGGTCCAACCAGCACCACAAAACCCTCTGCCATGGCCACTGATGCTTGTGTCATCGCCAAGTTTCAAATTGAGGGAATACAAAGCATTTGTACATGACTTATTTTTCGTGGGCTCCATTTTTCGCGAATTCGACTGAAGCTGAAGAGCTGGAATAATTAATTGGTACTCATTTTTTGCAATCCGCAAGGACCTCACTACAGCTTTCTGTATGTTCACATTTTAGCCAAATAGTTTGTGAGACCTATTTTTTGCAAAATGTAGACGATTCGTGAAAATTAGGTCTTCGTGAAAATTAATTTGTTTCCAGTATACAGTGGTACTAGTTTACTTAATTTCTCGTGACGGGCATGAAGGGGGCCAGATGGAAGGCGGATCATTATAATAAGGGTGACGAAGTTTATGCCACAATAGGCTGGGACATATCACAACAGATATAGTAGT